TATACTATATATATATATATATATATATATATATATATATATATGTATATATTATATAGTGTGTGTGTGTGTGTGTGTGTGTGTATACGTACGTATATCACTCTTAAGAATTGGTACTGTATAATTTAAAGTACGACTGTAATGGCTAAGCGGAACATAACATACTATCCATGTTCGAAATCTAAGATCAGAACATAATCTTACATTACAGTTTATTAAAAATCACTGTGTATACACGCGTATGTCGCGTCCTGTCATAAATAATTATATTCGTATATATGAAAATTATCAAGGATCTGCCAAATCCAATTGGCGGAAGTATCTCGCTACAAGACAGATGAATAAATTCAGCGCTCCCAGTTCCTGTGCATCTAATTCTCTCTGAAAACAAAGAGAAGCGTAAATAGCGAAATCGCTAAGACGGTGTTAGTAAATTCTAACGTAAATTTTTGTAGATATTAACGACAAGCTAGTTTAGATATAGAAGAAAAGTTCAGTCTCTTGTTTTCTCAATCTTTATAACTAAAGGATAAAATGTTTTTATCGCCTAAATCTTTTTCTAATATCAGAAACAAGATAGTAGCATCGTAAGTAGAAAAGAAACAGAAAGTTGCAATAAAAATGTTTTGTTAATAGAAATTCGACATTTTCCTCAATGCCTCTTATCATTTTATAGAATTTCAACTATCAATTATGAAATATTAGGAACGTCCAACTGAACTTTTCTTTATAAAATATACATTGATACATCTTGGAATAAAAAAAACCAATATACTTTTGTAAATTGTGCATATAAAAGCACGAAGTTGTTTATCATTCTAAAAGAGAGAAAATATTAAATGTGTTCAGGATTAAATGCTATCTAATCTCGTTTTTTAGACTAGAAATTCTTTTATTTCAAATTACAAATTTATAAAATTAAAAAAAAAATGTTGAACTATTTACTTATTAAGACGAATCTTTCTTTACATAAAGATATAAAATATTGAGTGATTTTGAAATTTGTTGAAAATGTGTTTTATATATACTGCAAAATAAAATCGAAGTAAACTCATTAATAGTAAGATTAAACAAATAGTCATTAAATATTCTCTCCTTTCTTTCTGAAATAGATATTGATTGATTTAATTCCAATGTATTGTGATATTTAATAGTTTGACAAACAATAACTATTACAGAATCAGCACGAATTATGGAACACGTTCGCGCCAATGAACGCAAACAATGACAAGTGTCAGGTTGCAATGGTTGCTCCAAGCTTGCAAGTAATGTATATATCCATCGCCCTATTTTATATTGGATTCTCCTTTCAGTCTCCACAAATTGTACCAAATATTCAAGTACTTGCTCTACACTAGACTGATTGAAACAAAACAAAGTATTTAGTGTAGGCTCGATCTTCTTTTCACCCAAACAAAAATTGATCCAAGCATTTTGATCATCTATGTCTGGCTGTAACACAAAAAAAACCCAATTAAATAACATAGTTCAAAGTTTTTTCAAATGTTAGATAATGTTTTATGAAATTTTATGTGCCAATTCAATCTCTGGTGGTTTCCATTTGTGTCTGCCCATTTGTATCTCATCCTTTAATTGGTTCACATACAGCCTTATTTTTGAAAAGTCTGAAACTTGATATTGTTGCCATTCGATGGTTGGTTTAAGATTCACTGGTGCTTGAATACATCCTGCTAACTTTTATAGTTATATTGATTTTATTGATTTATTAAGTGTAGATGGATTAATATAT